TACGCTATCACTCTGTCCATGCTCCTTCACTTTGCCATTCTCTACATTCCCTTCCTCCAGAACCTGTTCTCGATTCTGCCTATGGACTGGAATGAATGGCAGGCAGTGTTGGTGATTAGTGCACCTGTGATGTAAGTCCTTATTGCTGCTTAATATTGAAAGAATACCCTACTAATCCATACTCCCAGCTTGATCGACGAAGTGCTCAAGTTCGCTGAGCGTCGTCTCTACAACACGAAAGCGGTCAACCCTGTCCACCAGAACGGCGCCGCTGGTAAGCCCAAGCGGGCATAAAGGATGGGCTACATTGGCGAAAGCCTAAATAGGACCCTACCTTCCCGGGTATCTGCCCGAGCAGGAGCTAATCGGTGTGTAATAGAGATAGATTGCGCCTGATTGGCTGGATATTTATCACGCATTAAATACGAGAGTGCGTGGATTACTTATGACATGCTATCATGGATGCCCATAGATCAACCTGAATGAAAGATTACTACCTGCGATCGTTGCACATGTGGACAGTAGGACAATATGTACTTAAGTATTCATAGCAAACCCCTTTTTCGACTATGAATCGATATTTCTCGGTGTATCCCCTGGTTTCCACGTCCTCGTCTAGCTTGGAGAGCCATGACCCCTTTCCAACCCTGGAAAGAGAACGATGAATGATGTGATCGAGCTGTAATCGGTGTCCCTGCAATGTATACGGCTGTTGTCCACGGCTATTAAAGTAGACATTGGCATATGCTAGCAGCTAGCCCGTAGCTCCCCTGAAGTATAATAAGCACGATTCTGCGTGATAGCTCCTAGGATGCTATCTAGACTACTGTTTAGCGTACTATGTATGGTAAGACTCAGCCAGTATATCTCGGAGTAACATTCCCACCAGACACGGGAGAGAATAACCCGCAAGACCACCGGAACAGCATCCCGCATGTCCCAAAGATGAATAGCGTCAAAACAACCATGCAACCCTGACGCCACCTTGCCAGGGTCTAACCTTTGGAAAGCGGGGGTTTTGATCAGACCACAGGGGAAAAATATCAAAGTTACCTTCGATCCTCGGTGCAACTCCGCGTTGTGAGTTGTGATTGGATGTCGCTGGTCTTTCTCCAGGGATCGTCTGGGGGCTTTCCCCGGACTGGGGGAAAGTGTGGAGTTTGCGGAGAAATAGGACTGTCACCTTGTTTTTGCAAGGTTGTTTTGTTTTAAATACCTCCTTGGGTCCCTTTGATCCCTTTGGTCCCTTCAGTCCTTTTTTCTTTGTCTTTTCTATGATCTTTCCTATATTTAAGTATGGGCGTAAAGGAATTCCTCAAGAGCCGCTCAGGCTTGCGTGTGGATAATCGCACGACTACTTCTGCTGCTACTCTGACTCTGCGACAGAGTCTGTGGCCGTTGACTCTGGTCACGACCTTGTTTTTCTTATGGGTATGCTACTATATTCCAATGTTGTCCATAGACAGTTCTCGTACTAAGTCTTCAATTAGGGTTTTGCATATGGTTTGCTGGACACCCTCAACTCGCATTTCCAGAAAACCCTACATATCGACCGAGGCCGCTCAGCTGGTCTTCAAGCAGCCTACTTTGGGTATGAAATCTCTCCACAACACAAGTATCTTACACAAAAAAAACGCCCTAACAAAGTCCAGTGCATACCCCCTAGCCTCCCTCGGCTACGCAAACTGGATCCTGCGCAACTACGGCTACAAGACCGTCTTTATCTTTGGTCTGTGCCTATACGGCATTGGAGCCCTGTGCATGTGGCCCGCAGGATTGAATCAATCTTTCGGTGGCTTCTGCGGTGCCACATTCGTCATTGGATCAGGACTGGGGTCTCTCGAGACAGCAGCTAATCCCTACCTAACCGGTAAGACAATCACACATTCCACACAGAACCGTGCATAGACATTGACCGCTCCTTGCATCTGTCTAGTCTGCGGTCCACCCCGCTACTCTGAAATCAGAATCAACTTCGCCCAGGCCTTCAATGCCATCGGCACAGTCGTCGGCCCAGTACTGGGCTCTTATGTCTTCTTCACTGAGACAGAGGATGATGTATCTGCCCTGCAGCGCGTGCAGTGGGTTTACCTCGCTATCGGTGTTTTCGTCTTCTTGCTTGCTGGTGTATTCTTCCTATCCAATATCCCCGAAGTCACGGATGAGGATATGGCTTTCCAGGTCGCGCAGACGCATGTCGATGAACAGGATAAACCTTTCTGGAAACAATATAAGTTGTTCCATGCGACATTGGCGCAGTTCACATATACAGGGGCGCAGGGTGCGTTTTATATATACGCTTCATTTTATACTTCCTCTGTTATTCTAACAGGCTAACTTTTTCCCCAGTCGCTATCGCGGGCTATTTTATCAACTACGTCAAGGATACCTGGCCGGGTACACCGAATGCCACAGCGGCGAAGTATCTCGCCGGTGCGCAGGGCGCATTCGCAGTCGGCCGGTTCCTCGGCTCGGGGATTATGAAGTTTGTACGGGCGCGCTGGGTCTTCCTGGTGTATTTGTCGTGCACGGTAGCTTTCCTTGCTGCATCAGTGACACAGAAAAAGCAGGTTGGTGTTGCTATGCTCTTCATGACGCTATTTTTTGAGTCTGTTTGCTTCCCGACAATCATGGCGCTGGGTATCCGGGGTCTCGGACGCCATTATAAGCGTGGCTCTGGGTTTATTGTTGGTGGTGTTTGTGGAGGAGCTGTTGTGCCGCCTATTCTCGGTCATGTTGCTGATATGCGTAACAATACGGGATTTGCGTTTATTGTTCCGACTATGGTATGTTCTGTTCTTGGGTTCTTGTTTTACGTTGTGGGGTCGGTGGCTAATGCTGGTTGCAGTTCATGGTCATCGCTTGGACTTACGCTATTGCTGTGAATTTTGTTCCGTCCTATACTAATACCGTGGATAAAATCGGCGAGAGTGATGTTGGTATTGATAGTCAGAGTACGAAAGATGAGGAGGCTGTTATGGGCTCTCATTCTATTGATGAGACTGTGGATGAGAAGCACCAAGCTGTTCATGTGGAGCGGTAGATGGTTGTTATTTGCTCTGCTTTCAGTATCTCTTATGGGGTAATGGCTAATGGTTAATGGGTGTTGGGATTTTGATTTTGATTTACTTGCTCAGGATTCTTCTCTTTATCTCTTTATAGAGTAATGGGTGACGATCAAACGATATAATGATGTTTAATTACCAGAAACAATTGAATGAAATTCAAAGAAACCTTGATTGTAAATATTAACTAACGTTCCTTTTAACTGAATCACAGAGGCCGATAAACTGGGTACGATATTAGAAGACAATCCGGCAGATGTCCGTTGTGGCTGGTTGGTGACATTGGTTTTTGATATCACCAGAATGTGTAACAAGTCGGCTCAAACTGATGGGGAAACCGCAGAAGGGCCATAAGGCATATTGACTACAACTGAGGGCTATATTTAGCCTCTGGAAGTGTCGCATGAAACTGAGACATTTCGTGCGGACCATGTCAGAGGTCGCAACGTTGAACCCCTTGCCCAAGAATGATTCGACCTTCTGCACTTGGATTTCATGCTAATTCACTCCACCGATAAATGGTTGCCTGTACGACAACCGGCCCATTCGATGTAAGAGCGCCGTTAAGCATCGTATTATGACAGTTGAGTTAGCGAGGGCGAGGACGCTCGTCGATTTGTAGCAGGGCTAACTCGTCATTGTGTAACGCAGCAGACAAAACTCCTAGCTTGCCAAGGGCCTTGGTGGCTGTCTGCGCTCCATCGAACAGCTCTGCCTTGAACACTTGCTCTTCTAGGCCGATTTTCGCAGAAACGATTTCGGACGTTGCGTTACGAAAATGCTAAAGAGGTGCTAACATGTGGAACATCAGGAATTAGGAGGCTTCCTAGTAGAAATGAGCCTGTAAAAGGATAAATCCTTCGCTCATGAAAGGCCTTGTTGGTTTGCATGCCCTTGTTCGGAAGACTCCTTTAAGTGGGTGGCGATATCGCTGTAATGGGTGCACGACTTCGAGTTCACGGTGCCTGACATACACACGGTATGAAAGGGAATCGGTAGCCGTTCGGGTTAGATTCCCAGCCTCCATTCGAGACTCGCAGGCAGCACATGCACCACGAAAATCTGTGCGGGATCGGAATTCGCAACTGCTTATGGCGATTGCTAGGGAAACTCGAAGCGCGTTGAAGATGGACAAAGAGGCAAAGAAGATGGCGGTATCCTTGGATAATCTTGCTAACTGTGTACATGGACCACTGTTCAGACGTTAGAGTCAGGCAACATGGTAAATTATGAGAAAACCGACGTCAGAGTTGTTATCGTTCTCACATGAAAGTCCTCACGTACACGAGAATTCATTCGAAGGTGAAAGATGTGGCAAGAAAGAAATACTCATACAGATCGTAGTCGTCGTGAAGACGGCAACCGGGCCCTGGTCCCCAGAAGGCCAGTTGCTCGCAAGTCCTCATAGGAGCTGGCTTTTAGTCAAAATAATCATCATCTTGACAGCTGGGTGTGACTAGTAAATCTTCGTGACCTTGATTATTGTATATATATATAAAAGGAAGAATTGAAAGGAGACTAAGAATTGAGCTGAGTTGTTGACTGGGAGAGAGGGGGGAGAGGGAGGAAGGAAGATCAAACATGGCGAGGAGCAGAGACCCTATTAACCTTAGGCAGAAAAGCTGCCTTGGCAATATATATATCTGTGGAGTATGTAACTAGTATGGCCTCTTTGGTATCATACTGATCCACTTCTTCTTAGTTCTACATCCACCATAGACAGCCATTCCTTTCTACCAAAAACTGAATATTTATACATACTACCAACTTATCATGTCGGGCCGACGCTGGTGGATTTCTTCCTCAGTTATATGAATCACAGTACGTTGTACGATTTCTTGTGGGCTTTAACAACAATCCTACCATGTTATATTGATAGCTCTCGAGACAGAATATTGCTAGTAGACGCTCGAAATGTTCAGATGGTGTTTGGCATCACCAGAAAGTATACCGAGTCGGCTCTGCCCGGTAGCTGGAGAGCTCGTGTGGGCATTTAAACTCGTCATTTTCTGGCATGGAGATAGAATGATCAGTCTGCGATATATCCAACAGAACTCCCAATTCATGGAAGGCCTGGGTGAATGTTCGAGTTGCATCAAACATTTCCGCCTTCAAGGCGTAAGTTTGTAGGGAGATATTCGCCATACCACTTTCCGCCGTTTCAGAATCATCCGCGGGAAAAGGAGGAGCCAGGACACATGTGAAACGTGAGAGATGAGGAAGCTCACCTCTAGCAACAAGCTGGTAAACGTCTCGAAGATGGAAATCCTCATGAATATGGGAATTTCTTTCAAGGCGGGAAGAATCGTAAAGCCGGAACCTTGAAATCGAATCCCGAAATGTAAGGTGCTCAAGACTTGGTGGTAAAAGCCCAATCATGGGCACTGAGCTGTACTCGGGATAATCATCATCCGTAGGGTTACCTGCCAAATGGCTGGGTGTGATAGTGAGATCTCTGAGAAGCGAGAAGGAAGTGAGATTGGTTCGTTTGCCCCATGGAAGGTAAATGTCCAAATCCAGACTCTCGAGCGAGGAGGACTGAAGTTTGATTGCTTCCACGTACCGCTGTCGGGTTTGAATTCGGTGGATGTCAGTTTGGAATCCTCGAGCCTCGCATTTGAAAGTGATGTGCTTCAACGCACGCGGATATTTCATAATCTCCGCGAGTCTCGTTGCGCCGATACGGCAATTTAGCAACCATAGTCTTTTAAGTGGTGTAGGATGAAGCGGACCATTTTTGTGTCGGTTTTGTGTGTGTGCCTTTATGGCACAGTGAGTAAGTGTGAGGTTTTCGAGACTCGGGTGAATGAGGGCAGCATAGACAGGCTTGATTTTCCAGAGTTCCCAGACCGAAGAGTCGTGACCAAGTACACCTAAAATGTTAGAGTCACTTGAAGACATCAATGTGATAGGAACCTTACATGAAAGAAGGTTTGGAAGAATCTCAGGTCGTCGAAACAGATGTGGCTGCTCCAGTCTTGGAAGACAATCTGCCTTCATTACCAAAGATTCTAAATTGACCAATTTCGCAATAGTCGGCTGGAAGCCAATGAGGTCGAGGAGCTGAAACATATGCGGCTGGTCTTCCCCAGCATCTGGAATATCGTGGTAGTGGACTTGTAATCTTCGAATGAAGGGAATAAGGTGGGGCTTGTCCTTGATGATTCTGGCAAAGCGATCCACGTTGACTGGTTGCCATATCACGACTGATTGATACAGGCTGGGAGTGGCAGCTGAATAAAGCTTGCGGCATACACGAGTGACCGCTGCAATGCTTGCAAATTTTGGGCGAACCTCAGCGAGAATATTGTCAAGGACCTCCTGGGGACAGGCCAAGAGACCAGTGAGCGGGGAGGAATCCATTTTGCGTTGGCTATGGGACGGTTGATGAAGCTTGATGAAGCTTGATGGGATGGAAGCTTGATGGGATGGTCAAGATGAAGGTTGATGAGTAGACGGAGAAAAATGGAAAAGACTAGAAAATTATCTGAATTCTAAAGGATGAAAAGGCCAAACAAGTGACAAAATAGATTCGACAGCTGAAACGGAGAAAGTTCAATTGACTTTCACCTCACGACGGAGCTGACTTCATGAGATACTCTTCATACGCCCTTTAAATCCCCAGCTGAGATCGAACTCTCCAATTTCATTTTCGAATAGCCTACAGTATTAGTTTGATACTCTGTCAGAAGTGAAGTTGAGGATATCAAAGTTGGTATTGGTCTATGCAACTTCATTATGCAATTATTCCGTTGCTGATCAATCCAGCAAAATAAGATGGGACAGCGTTCTATATGAGACAAGGGAATGCTAGACAAAAAACATCAAAATCAAGCGAAGGTCGAATCATCATGAGGGGTTAAGGAAATATAGGGGAGGGAAGGCGCTTCATGAAGCTAGGAAAACATGAAGGAAAAGAGCGCAAGAGAGGGAGGTAGGCATAGGTCCACTGATGGATCCAATTATGCCAAAAAAGAGACAGATCAAGAAAATGAAAACGAGAACACGCTGTGGAAGTGGGGGTATAAAAAGCTCTATCATCTAACCAAACATAGGAATAAGTGATCGTGGGATGGGCGAAAAAACGCGCGAATCTAGTGCACATATGGGAGATTGCAAGGAAGCTGTCGGGTTGATATCGGTATTATTCAGCGATACCGATCTTCTCTGCGGTATCGGATGGCGAGCGCAAAGAGGAGGAGCGAGGAGGACGAAGGGGACTGGTTTCAAGGTTTTGAATAGGAGCAAATGGCGTTCTGCCGCTTGACGGAGATCCGGTCTCGTCTGCTGGGTGCTCATCGGGGGTAACGAAATCAGATGGTGTACCAGGTTCGTCGAACTCATCGACCTCTTCAATTTCTTCCTCAATCCCTTCGATATCTTCCTCTTCCTCGATAATTTGGCTCTTGCGTGCAACAGGCCGCCCTGCGATGATGTCGGGACTGGTATTCACTGGCTGACCGGGAACGGGGGAGTTGACTACCCCACCAGACACCATCAAATTAGTGGTATGGATCATAGGACCCTTGAAGAGAGATCTCTTTCGCCTTGCAAACACCAGGCTTGAAGAGGGCGAGTAGAGTAATGGCCCTGGTACCGCCTCGTTAAATGACGATGACATCTGGCTTAGGTCGCCAAGCTCTCGAGGTGCTCCGCCTGGCCCTCTTACCAACCGAATATTGCTCGGAAAGCGGGATGAGGCACCTGGGGTGGTGGGGAGGACTTTGATAGATGAGTGAGGCGATTTGGAGGCTCTGGCAGTGGGCGTCGAGATAGTATCTACACTGTTGGATGAAATCGAGGAGGCCTTGGAGTGAGCACGAGCGTGATGAATGCTGCGGATCGATGATACCGAGGATGATGTAGATTTGCGTCCTCGCAATCCGGCCGATGAACGCCGATAGGATCCGCGTGGTGTGATAGGTGAGGGAGAGAGAGAGTTTCGATGACTGCTATGACCGGTGTTCAATGGCCGCGGCTGGCGAGGGTAAGAGTGGCGGTTTTGGCGGTATGAGGCACTACTAGGAGCGAGGCTGCTAGCATTGGAGATTCGTTTGATCTGAGTGGGTGTCACAACCTCCTCCCCTGCGACCTCGCTTGCTGGGGACGACAAGTCCGCAGGTTTCTTTCCAGTATCTTGACTCTTTGCTGGGCTCAGCTTATCGGAAAGAAACTTGCGCGAGCCTGTCGATTTGGCATGGGGAGACCGCGCTCTCTTTGCCGACTCTACAAACCAATGCTTGAGAGATGCTAGCTGGCTGAGTATCGGATACTGGTGACGACGACTAGGGCGACGCCGGAAGATGCTTTGATGCTGTGTCAACTCCGGCTGTGATGCACTAACATGCAGCATACTGGGCCGTGATCGCCGCCTGTCTTTTGGCGGGGGGACTGGGCGGCGGCGTGTCGAGTTGTGTGACCGTATAGAATCTTTGTCGAGGGGCAGTGGTGGCGTGGTGACCTCAATTGGGAATACGGGAAGCGGTTCAGGAAGCGCAGGAAGATCTGGCACTGCCAACTGGGATGGTAAGCTTCTTCTATCCCGTCTCCCACGATCCCGCAACCCCGAGCCTTCTTCCTCCACCTCCATTAAAGCCGATGATCGCTTCTCTAGGCGACTGCTCGCAGCGCTCAGACGACGAATATTTTTTGATTCGATTTCCCGCTCGTGACGCTTGCGCTCCCTCTTTTTTTCCTTCCGTTGCTCTTTTTCAATTAGCAGGGCCCACCAGCCAGCCAGTGGGTCGCACCGCTGAGCCAGGACATTTTCTATGACCTCGTCAATATTGACCCCAGCGCTTTTCATCCGCTGCAATGTAGTCTTCTCCAGTGGCGTAGTAAATGGCGAGGGTCTTGGGATTTTTAGAATTGCAAGCTGTTCAGGAGCATGTTCCGAAAGGAAAGGATGAGCTAGGATCTCATCTAGACTGGGTCGAATCAAAGGCCGTTTGGACAACAGGAGATTGATCAAAGCCTTGGCATCGTCCGTGAATTTGTCGTTGAAGGTCGGCTCGTCTGACAATATGCGCTTTTTGGTGATTTGGTCGTCATCGTCATCATAAGGCAGCTCGCCTGCCAAAAGCGCATAGAGAATGATTCCCAGGCTCCATACATCCACTTTTTCACCCGCGTATTTCTCTCCTTTGAGCATCTCGGGTGCACTGTAGCATATCGTCCCACAGAATGTCTGAAGATAGCTAGCCTTTCCTTCATATTCACGCGTAAACCCAAAATCGCATAGCTTGACGTTTTCTTGTTTATCCAGCATTATGTTTTCCAGTTTCAAGTCGCGATGCACGCATGATTTACTGTGGACATAGGCGACCGCTCCCACCAATTGTGTAAATATCCGCTTCACTTTCTCTACCGGGAGTGGGCCGTGTCGAAGGAGGTAGTTGTAGAGTTCATCGCCTGGAATAAAACTTTGTCAGTATGTTTCCCCAGGCATCCACCATGCGCAAGCCAACGTACCGGGACAATACTCCAACACAAGCCAAACGAGGCTCTCAGTTACCACCACTTCGTATAGCCGCGCGATATGAGGATGGAGGAATTGGCGATGGTGATGGATCTCGCGCACAAGATTGGTGTCCTCCTTGCTGGACGATTTGAGCACGACCTGCGGACTTGATCAGCATTGCCTCCACAATTTTGTTCTTCGCATTATATGGCGTACCTTGGAGCCATTGGTGAGTTTGTGTGAGGCGAGATAGACTTTGCCGAAGGAACCTTTCCCAATCAGCCTTCCCAATGTATAATTCCCTACAGTCCGAAGATCCTTGGAGGAGAACTCCCTGTGGAGAAGCACCATGTTAGCGCAACTGATCATCTAGACCGGAACCGGAGCGATCGCTTACTCAAGGAGTTCATTATAGGAGTTGGCAAGCTGTCGAGAATTTTGAGTTAGACATATTTGCACGGACTTTGCGCAAGGCTCAAACAAAGGAAACCCGCGGAGCTCCCTATGTCGCATCCCTGATAACGCACCTTCTCCTTTTGTTTCTGGCTTTGAACCCCCGCTCTTGTTCGGGGCGGCATATGTTATGATTGCCAAGTTTCGCGGTCGAGAGATTCTCTGCGCGTCAAGGGGTTGACTAGGAATGGTTGGTGTGCCGGGGGTGCCATTCAACGGGACACGAGATGCGCGGATAAACGGTATCCGAAGAGGAGGGAGGTCGATAGGTTTCAGAAAGGGGTATCTGGGGGTTCGGGAAGATGGCCGGAGAAATAGAATAACACCGCAACGGATGAAAGAAGAAGGAGAATTGCATACAAAGGCCTTTGAAAGATTCCAAGACGTCAACGGGAACGTGGACCGTGTGGAGAACTCGGGACTTGGACGGCTCTCCTTTTTTTTTTGGAGTCCTCTATTATTATCTTTTGTGTACATTATACAATCTACGTTATATATTTCAGGCAAATTAAGTCTTCCGGACTCCGCTCCGATCTAGCAATCTCCTGACACTGTTCGGAATTGTCAACCCATATACTTTAATTGGCCTAAATACCAGACTCCGACCTTAGTCCTGGAACAACAAACTGATCATGATCGCCACAATCCTACGTTGTAGGCGGGAGAATAGTTGTGTTGTTACTGCCTTACTGCCTAAGATCCAACCCTTACTTGAGGACAGTACATGTACAACGTACGACGTACACCGACGCCCAATTAATTTAGTGGACTGCACCTATTGGCTGATTCCTGCTGACATGAGCCAATTGGTGGAATGGCTGAACAACCATCGTCATATTACATGGATGGGTATTATATACTTCATGATTGCCACCAAGGCAGCGATTCAAGATGTCGGACTGTGCGTTCACTGGAACCCATCGTGGGATCGACGGGGCTGAGTCCTGCCTCACCCTGGAAAGCCAGGGACACCATGCCAAAGTATGAGTGAAGAAGGTCTATAGGTTTGGTCAGTAACACAGTCTCCTTATCAGTATGCTGTCACTTTACCAGGAGGATCCCCAGGCCCCTTCCCAAACCCACCGACAAGATGTTGGGTCTTTTCGAGCAAGTATCGACGATTGCGAACTTCATCGACCACGGAATATTGGTCCAGCATCTGATATCCGTGTTAGTAGATAACTACCACCAGCCAGGGTTTCACATACCACCAGTGTCGCTCCGTTCCAGAATGAATAGCATGTATCGGCATATTTATTGCATCGGCCATTGAACCCGGCGCACGATATTGTGTCGGCCTCGAGGGGTTTGACATTGGGTAATCCGCGGACTCGATCATCGAGAGATTCCGTCTCTGTCGTCTCAAGCTGTTCGTCATCTTCATCCTCCTCGGGTTCCTCTAGCTGGGCCGTTTGCCTTGAAGCCAGCCATGTAATCAAAGCCTCGAATTGATTCGAGCCTGTCGATAGTAGGGGCAGTGATTTCACATCATTAGACGTCCGGCGCAAGAAATCTAGAGACCCAACCGCGCAATATGTGTGTCCACCTATTAGTTGTTAGAAGATTCAGATGGCGGAACGGGAGACACGAACTATGCGATTCACAGAAAGGAGACTCAGCCATGCCGCCGTCGTACGTCTGTTTAGTCAAACTGTGTCAGTGCCTCAATCGCGGACAGAACCTCAATGTCTCCACATACCTGGCACGCCTCAATAAACGAAACAAAGCCGGGGACATCAATATCTGGTACACCCTCGAGCCCCGTCTCATTCCGCCCCCGCAGGACATACCGTATACCGGCAGCACAACAGCAGTATCGCAAATCGCGGGGTCCCCCTACACTCCCACCAGGACCGACAAGCTCACCAAAGCTTCCATCGGCGCGTTGGACCTTAGGAAGCCACTCAAGACACTCCAGTCGCTTGACACGCGACAGGTCATCCCCGAGGATGAGCAAGTTGACTAGCGCAAAGAATGTGGCGGGGACATTAGCTGGATCCCAAGCTTCATTATCCTTATTTCGATTTTCTGGCCCAAAGTCTGTGCCTGGGAAGCCACGGAATCCGCCCGAAGGCACCTGACAGTGATAGAGCCAGTCGATGTACCCTTGTCTCTCTTCCGGGGTGGTTTTGCTCTGGAGAACGCCCAGCACGTCCAATCCTGACAGGGTCAGATAGGCAAGGAGCATGCGATTAGAGTCATTGGAAGTATAGGCAGATGGGAGGTAGGTCTTCAGGCATCGGAGGTAGTATTTCACATGGCGCTCTGTGTTGAAGGTTGGGTCTGGGTCGGTCATTGTAGAGGATGGTTAGGGACCTAGACCACTATGCAGAATGATAGGAGCTGTGCAATATTATAGTATTAATTCAAGCGATTTAATCAGTATGCACCAAGTCGTAAATCAGATCCAATCATCGTAGTTGTTGTGTTGGTGGGGGATATCTCGACCGCAGCTGCTTTTTCCCCACATGTGTTGCGGCCAAAGGACACTCGGACCAACTCTCCAAGTTATTTCCGTCTGTGACTTTTAGAACTTCCTCTTGTCCACAAACTCGTGCCATTGTGACTTGTCCATCATGGTTTTAATTTCATCCAAGACCCTTATCCAGGCACATGCCGTGTTTCTGGTTGTGGTCGCCGGCTATCTCGTCAAGAGCCCGGAGGTCATCACTGACTGCGATCTGGTGTTTATGATGGGAGAAGCCTTGAAGATTGTACGTTGACCGTCGACACCAACATTCTCCGATTCACAAGTCCATTTCTACCATACTGGCAATGGATCTTTCTAGATTGACTTGGTTTTGACTGCTAACACTCATGATACAGGACTTCCCATCCCTGTCAAGCCCGCAACAATCCCCCTTCACCTTCTGTGCCATCCTCATCTTTGTCGAGGCCTTTGTCGACCTCGTCCTGCTATCCAACATTCCCTTCCACGAAGCTCTCGATGAAGCTCTCCCTTATATCCGGCCCCTCCGAAATAGCAACCTCCCCGCCGAGGATCTGCAGGTTCTACAGGGTTTGCCTGAATATATCACCAAGTCCTTGACGATATACTGGAGCGTCTGGATCGCAGTTGCTGCGTGTCGCTTTGCTGTGTATGCCGGGATTGCGTTCTTTATCTACCAGGGCAGAGGTGACCACTTGGCCTCGTCTTACACCAGCGCTGCGGCTATTGGGGGCCTGGATCGCCTGAAGAACCGGGTGGTCTTCAGCTTTGCTTTCTTCGAAATGATGTTTTGGTTCTGGGTAAGTGGAAATTGTCTTGGACAGTGTTAAACCCATTAGCTGTTTCTCATACTAATGTGCTACTACAGAACTTCGCGACCCTCCGCGAGGAGCGCCAGGAACGCCTGACCAAGCTGCTGGAGGATGCCCGTGAAAACTGAGCACTTTTACTGGTTCATCGGTATTTCTTTCTATGAGTGTATTATTAATATGGAACATCCATTCGCAATTGCAAAGCGATGGCATTTAGACACACCGTGTACCTGATCGATTAAAACATATCGTGGATAAAATAAGACACAGGTGCATCATCAGGCAGTTCTCGTGTTTCCATTCATTCCACCGTCGTAACGACATTTCAACGCTGCTAAACATATTGCCTCCCCCTGAAATGACCCATCACGCTTCATTCTAGATCAGAACGGCGAACGCTGCCGCAGCACCAGCAGCTGCCAGGAGGGAAGTATCCTTGTGAGTGAACGCAGCGACGCCAGTGCTAGTGGCAGCAGCAGAGGCGGACGAGACACTGCTCGAAGCGCTGTTCGAGGTCGTGGTAGAAGCCTTGGTGCCCGTCACAGTGGTCGAATCTGAGGTCTTAGTCGCACCCGATGTCTCAGTGCTGGACTTGGTTCCAGTCTCGGTCGAGTTGGAGCTAGAGCTGGTGCTGGTTCCAGAGCTGGAACTCGACTTGCTGCTCGAGCAGATCACCTCGGCAGGCAGATCGGTCACACCACCCCGGGCACAGATTGACTTGGCGACCTTGATGGTTGCTGTAGCGAAGAATAACGTATCAGTCCACTGTACATGTTCCGCTATCCATGATACGTAGTCATATGGAACAATCCCACACTTGTTTACTCAATTGGAGATAGGGAATGGAGGAGAACATACTATCCTGGTCCGCCTTGGAGCATTTATCGGCGATGCAGCAGGCGACATCGGCTAGGAAGGACTTGGACTCGCAGACGCACTTGAAATCAATGCCGCAGTTCTGGGGGATTGAACCTGTAGCACAGGATTTCTATCGAATGAATTGTTTAGCAGACGGCACATTTGGCACAATTGTATGTTAAATGTAAACACATACCGAGCAGTCGGGGAGATCACCCAGGCCTTGGGCAGCGGCAGTGGTCAGCAGAGCTGCCAGGGCGAAAGTAATAGTGAACTTCATCTTCGCAGATATGCTGTTGGATGAAGTGGGCTATTGGTAGGGGAGAAGATGTGAGAGGTTTTGTTCTCCAAGTCAGGTTGCATGTATAGGTCGTGGTAATACCCCAATAGATAGGTCAAAAATACACCAATACGCAGATCAACGGTACCTTTTCCCCGCAAAACCCTTTGGATTTACATGTGGCCCCCAAGGGTTCTCCACAAAATTCGGTACAGAGGTATTTTTGAATGATTGGTTATTAAATATCAGAACTCCTGGGTATTTTACATAGGGGGTATTAAACCGCACCCCACGTCTATCTCGATGGCGAAGCCACGGGAGAAAAGATCTCCGGTAGATGACATGGAAGAGAGAAGAAAACCTAGCTAGGAAGCAGGTTTCGACAAACAAAACGGGGAAGGGCCAAGCCTCAGGCACCCAGGAAGCCCCAAAACCCAACATATCTCTTCCTCTCTCTATGCCACATAGCCGAGATACCTACCAGTGCAGATGAACATTGCAGAAATCAAAGATACGCCCCCTTCCCTCCCCCCCAACTTCTCAGACTTCCGCTGAAATCGATATCGTCGGTGATCTGCAGAACATGCAGGCAATATTGAAACCGGCCGGAACGTCCCTCAACCGAGCTCCTCACATCATCCACTAGTATGATTCGCCGCCTGCACCGTTGTGAGGCTGGCCAACTATGGGCGGGTAGCCGTATGCAGAGGCGTCTTGCTCGGACGGGTCAAGATTGAGGTTTGACATGGGGTTTGTGCCTTCGGCACTGGGGAAGCCCGTTGGACGGGCTAGTCCAGGCGCACCTCCGGCCTGGCCACCAACGGGTCCTCCAGCTCCATAGCCAGCGCTTGGGGGTCTCTGATTGTCGCCGCGGGCAGACTGGGTTTCGCGGTACTTGGATAGGTAGATCTTGAGTGCTTCAGCGTAATTCTCGAAGCCAAGCGAGGTCATGGCGAATAGGATGTCTTCGCCATTGACTGTTTTGCGCTTCTCCTGCTGGCATTTCTCGGAGGCTTCACTTGTGATAAATGAGATGTACTCGCTCACACATTCCTGCATGCATTCCTTGGCTTCTTTTGCGATCTTCGCATTGTCGGGAAGCGCAAGCTTCATGATACGAGCGACATTGGCAATTGGAAGCCACCGATCCTGCTCCTTCACCTCAAACTCGCCTTGGTGTCCCTGCGCGTCGTGGTGATCCTTGTCTATGTGGTCTTGCTCTTCTCCCGATTGCGTCTCCGGGTCAAGATCGTGTTCTTTTGAAGGAGAAACCGACGACATGATTAAAATGGGGCTTGATAGGTGTAGTGGATCTTTGGTGTTGCGTCAGTGCTTGTGCGCGTGCTCCGCTGCACTGTAGTCTTAGGTGAGGAGAGGGTCGACCAGGTGGTTCGGATTTGACAATGATGTGAGGTGTAGGTATTCAAAGACAGGGGTTCGACTTCAATATGCAACGCGATCACGTCGTAACCGCTGCTGGGGAAATAATGCGCCTCACAACTTGGAGTCTAGCTAGCTCTCGACCTCGGGAGTCCATTGATGGTGATGTGACACTTATCATCACATGACATATCACATGACACGATGTAGTCACGTGCTGGAATGGATGCTGAGTGGATCTCCGGTTTCTTATCTTCTTCTGTATCTTGTGTATTGATGCATGTCCCGAAAGGCTAAGTCTGCTTCTAAAAGCGAGACTACAGTATTGGGACCTGGACCAGGGGTCGTTGAGGCAATCAATGTGCCTCCAATGGTTTCAACGTTGAGACCACCGTGTATTCGTATTTCATAAAATTACCGAGAGGTCTGGGCGTGACTGTGGATGTTCCTGTTTGGGGGCTGTGGCATTTATTTCCCAACTATATTCCAAGTACGGACCTCTCTCATCGCCTTGTTTTTTACAATAATTCACTTCTACACCCTCTATTTTCAATAATATGACGATCATTCGGGTTGTACGACTTACGCTCTATACCAATCGCAAGGTTCAAATGGGAAATATGCAAGCCCCCGGGTCAGCACTAGTGGTTCTGTTCCCTCCACAGTGGGCCAGTACCTGATTTCATCAACACTATACTTGCGGGGAGCCTGTGTGCTACAAAAGCAAAACCACTTCTTTCAAGCTATGTATTTCATTATTGACTGCAGAGATCCACCTGCACCTCGGTCGAATATTGGATCAACGGTCAAGCCCTCGGTCTAAGCTTGGAAGCGCCGATCAAGGCTTACCTGGGTAACTCGACTGTAGGTCACCTTTCCCCGCGTCCTACTCGTACTGTCCTGTATGCCACTCAATTATAGAGGATCTGTGGTTGGCTTAGACGCAGTCTTAAATGGAGCTTTGAATGTAGTATGTGGTGTAATAGACAAGGATTTGAAATTTGCCTCAAATCACATTCAAAACAATGACGCTGCAGGCGGGTTACGCCCACACTCGGGCCTTAAAGTACATATCGACCGAGCTGCTTATCTTTCCCAAGGTTAGTCCTTATATTTAGTCCTATAATATAGTCCTAAATGTTGAGCTCTCAGTTTGATTCATGTCTACTATTTATCCCTATTGGACATAAGAAGCTTTTCCACGTAGCTTCCTTCTTTGGAGGGTCGAGAGTTGGTTTGCGCTCGCATAGTCCGTACCCCTCCTGACCTTGTTTTATTTTCTATCAAACCGTTGCTTTATCTCCAGGGCTACAAGCACCGCGTCGTTAGTTTCCTACAATTATGGGTCTTGGAGTACTGGAAGATACGAAACTCGCCAATGTCCCAGGTGAGATTTCATTAGCTTTGGCCGCTCAGACGCAATCGAATCCAGTGTGGCTCATCACAGCTTCAAACTCCAGGCACCTCCGATATCTACGAGCAAAACAGCGATGCGAACGACCAGACCCCAGGTATTTCAGGCCTCAAATGCGACTGCTCGGGCAAGCAGCCGATTATCCTCGTCCCGCAACCGAGCAATGATCCAAACGACCCATTGGTATGTTCCAGAGAGCACCGTACCCTAAGACCTGGTTCCACAAATACACGAGCGCTGACCCAAACGGTCCCATTAGAACTGGCCATTATGGCGACGGGATATGATCCTTGCCATTCTCTCCTTCGTGACCATCCTTTGCACAACCCTAAGCTCCATTCTAGCCGCAAATACGGTTACCATCGCGGATTACGAGGAAATCACGTTCACAGCAGCCGCTTTGTTGACTGGATATCACCTCTGCGGTGTCGGTGTGGCGGGCATCCTGATTGTGCCCACGGCTCGAGTTTGGGGTAAACGTCATCTATTCTTGATCGGGCATGTCTTGATGATTATCAGCTGCATCTGGGCTGGGGTTAGTGGAAAGAATAATAATAGTCTCATATGGGCTCGCATATTCCAGGGCGTTGCATTGGCGCCGTTTGAGGCGTTGGTCAATGCCTGCGTTGGAGACCTTTATTTCGTTCATGTGAGCTGGGCCTTCTTTTCCCTCCAGGTTTAAGTTATGAGGAGACTGATGGTGAAAATATAGGAACGAGGAAAGCGAATGGCTGTATCTAATGTCGCACTTTTTGGTGCGGCCTTCCTGACTCCCGTTGTGGTAGGCAAGATCACGAAGTCTATGGGTTGGCAGTGGTCTTTCTACTTTGTGGCAATTTTCCTCGGTGCTTCATTGCCATTGATGTTCTTCTTCGTGCCTGAGACTGCTTTCCGGCGCTCTGATTATTTAAACACAGACTTCAAGCGAAGCAGTGGGCATGGCGAGTCCATGGAGTCTCATGTTTCGCTCAGTGGAGCTTCCACTGATGATACTAAAGAGCTTAGATCAGGCTCTAACGATCTGAACGGAAGCTCGAAGGCCGAAGCCGCGATAACAGTCCCCGAGAAACATTCATTCGCTCAGTCGCTCAAGCTTTTCGACGGACGAAAGACAGATGAAAGCTTCTTCAAGTTGCTCCTTCGTCCATTCCCGTTGTTCTTCCATCCAGGCATCTTCTGGGTAAGCAACTCACTTAGAATTTAGTTTCATACACTGATAAATTTTAGGCTTGCCTGATCCAAGGCGTTGTCATTGGATGGGCGGTATTTGTCGGTGTGGTTCTAGCAATTGTGTTTCTGGGACCCCCAATGTGGTTCGAGGAAGACAAAACCGGATATCTTTACACAGGTGCCTTCATTGGTTCCGTTGTGGGCCTCATCCTGTCCGGCCTTCTTTCTGACTCCATTAACAAGTTAATGATCCGGCTCAACCACGGCAAATATGAGCCTGAATTCCGGATCCTGTTGGTGATCCCCCAGCTCATTTTCTGCGGTATCGGACTATACGGGTTCGGATGGACTGCAGATAATGTGATGCACTATGGCTGGCTGCTACCGGATGTATTCTTTGCATTCTTGATCGTCGGTATGGTGATGGGAGCCGTTGCTGCTTCACTCTATGTCGTCGATGCTCATCGTATGTGGACTACCAAGCCTTGTGTGGAAGTGATTGCTGACAATATCAGGCGAGATTGCCATTGAGGCTTTTACATGCATGCTCGTTTTCAAAAATATGTTCAGCTTTGTTCTGACATTCTTTGCCTACAAATGGTTCGCCCACGGAGGCATCAAACACACCATGATCATTATCGGGAGCATCCAAGTAGGCATCTGTCTGTTGAGCATCCCCATGTGTAAGCTTTGCCAAGTGTACGTCATTGATCTTAATTCTTCATCTAACTGACTGTTTTCCTGGTGTAGATGTTTTTGGGAAATGGAACCGGTCTTTCTTTGCCCGTCATGACATCCTCGAGATGCTTCATCTCCGTTAAAGTGATGGTAACGTCGCAATTTTTGAGTAGTTCAAGGAGTGGATATTTATGATCTTACGTGACATGAGTGATAGAGGAAGCATTTGCTATGACACTTTACATCTCTTCACGATTCGATACCGAAATCGGCTGAATCACAAAATTTACCTTTCCACCTGGGCTCGCTAGGCGACAATTAATTAGCCGACAAAAATGAGAATCTCTAAAATAACGATGATTACTGAAAGTAGTATAAAACTGCTCGTTAAATTTGGATGTATGAGTGTTTTTCGTATTCAACGAGAAATATCAAGTTGAGCGCTTTCGCGAAAAGGAAAAGCGATGTAGCTAGGTGCCCAAATTCTAGGGTGTAGGGCGCAAACTAGCACGTCTGGAGAAACCAAAACTCCTGTAAGACCTTCTTGGTTTATCTGACGGGATCGAACTCCTAGGGCTGGGGTTCTCAGGGTCTGGCCCTGTTCCTTGACAGAAGATGTCACGTATGAAGGCTTGCATGTCCTGGATCCAAACAACCAAGTTGAATTCTATCATGAAAATGAAAAAGCCCAATATCGTAATTGGAATTGCGCAAACGAAGAAAATCCAAATCTTTGGATGCGTCTCCCACTGTAACTTTTGCGTTGTCTGGTTACTCTCGAGAGTGAAGAAATTCATTCCGAAGAATCCCTGCGAAAGACTGTCAGTTTTGTTCAAAAGTGCATGTTGAGTTGGACAGCGCAGGTTGGCTAGCTCACCGAGATGAAAGTACTCGGCAAAAACAGCAAAGTTAGGGCAGACACGGTGTCAGACAATACTTTTCCTTCATTCCGAGTTTGCTTGAGAATACCTTTGGAGATATTACTATCGGCGACGGCAACGAAGTTGGAGGCCTGATATAATTAGCTGACATCTCAATACTCCTCTTTTGTAGATAGTACTCACACACTTGATCTCATTATCCATCCGACCCACAAATGCCTTGGCCCGGAAATTCAGATTGTGGATCATGTTTTCACGAAGCAGAAGCGCTTTCGATAGTCGCTTTGTTGCCGCAGAGGAAGGAGTATTTGACCTAGTCCATAGATCGTGGTCTCGCACAATAGCACCAAGATTGCTAGAGGCCGCATCCATCGTCTCGGAGATATGAATCACATGTCGTGATAATTCATGAAGCCGGGTGTATCGCTTGACGAGGAACTCGAATGTCTCGTCATTGTCAAAAGAACTTGTTTGTTTGAATACCTCTTGGCCACGCGTCTATAAACTGTTAGATACACACCGTATCTTGTAACAAAGGCAGGGCGAACAATACCTTCTCTATATCCCGCACTGGTTTCTGGAAACTCCACAGATCTTCCTCACACTGGTCCACAACGATACTCAGTGCAGATTCTAGCATCAAAAATGGCTCTTTCTTCCAATCTCTGAGGTCTGCGTTATGCAGTAGCCGTCTCAGCCGAAGGACAAGCTCGTCGTCAAGATCAAAACATAAAAGTATATTGGTTTCGTCAGCGGGTTTCTGCGTTGTCGCTTGGCCATTATTTGTCTCTGGAGTGAGACATGAAGACCGCCACAAGGTACAAAAGGCCATATAATGCCAATCGTATTCATATTCTGGGGCAAAGGTTGGGAGTAGATCTTTGTCGTGCTGGGTCCTTGGCGTGGGTGCCCTTTCAGGGTCTTTCTCCCTCACTTTCTTGGAAAGAAAACGCGAAAATGTTCCTTCATAACACATCTGATTAGTGAATGATCGAAATTCTTCCGTAGCTTCATACCGTAGCTTGATTCTTTATCAGTTTGTGACAGATTTTCAGCGCTACCAAACATTCCATTTGCGTTCCAGCCTAGTCTTCGAAAGAAGAATTCCGGAAGAAAGAACTTTTTCACTAATTCTCTACACAATTCTCCGCTTCCGTCAACTTTTAAAATGTCTTCCACTTTAGGCATGATGCTAATATATACATTAGCAAGTTTCGAATATGTGGCGGGTGGTTTCGTTCACATGACATGAATACCCGGCTTTCTATAGAACTAGATTGGGATCTATCAGCACACTGCGTGAACGAAAGGCTTCGTCTTTTATTGAGTTGACTGACATCTTCTCGCAACAGTTCAGTCTGGTTCAAATCTTTGACCTCCGGCAGATTGTGATCCCCCGGCATCAATCGTTGTGGAGGGCCAAGTACCGGTGATGCGGTGACTGGAGGCACCGTCCACCGCCAGTACTCGATGTTGACTGAGTCGTTTGCTGTCATTGTTGAGGGATCGCACAAGGAATAGTTACCAAAAATGGCCCAAAGAGATAGGAAATAGAGGAAAACAAGTTCTCCCGAGCGTCAGCCTCACATTTTGTGCTCAGGGGCAGGACGGCAGCAGATGGCCTTTACCTTGAACGGCAACACGAGGTACATACTGCACGAGGCAATCTTCGATCTGGTTGGCTATGAGATTGAGCGGCACTCTTTAGTGCCTGTTTTGCTTTTTAGCCCCCAGGAGCATGAGACTGGGGCCGAGAATGAGAATCGAGGTTTTTTCTCCAATATTTATATCAATAAAGCGCTATATGATACTTTTCAAGTTCAAGGAACATTTTTGACTGAGACTATACATATATTGAGGACTTTACTATAATAATCTTGGAAATCGTATACAAAAACAGAGTCAGTGTAATTGTTTATTTAGCCCCGCAGCCATTACGTTGCCACAGCAGGACCCATAAACAACAGAACGCTTTCATTCGCGAGACTAGTTGTTTTTAGCGTGCTTTCCTAAGGCCTCTTATCTTCCTGTCAACATATTTTCTCCCATGCCCGTGGCTTATGAATATCTAGGTCGAACACGTCACGTTGCCCGCAAATATCAGTTTGTCTGTAAAGTGGCATTAAAATCGAATATAACATTGTAAACCAGTATAGATTATCTTTTCCTAACCAAGCCCATATAATCACCAGGGATAGATAACCTTGGAATTAATGTTTTGAAAGACCGGCGAATAGTTAATCCGATTGACATCTCGTCCAAGGTTGTTCCTGCAGACCCGAACCATATGTGGCCCCGAACCGTCAAATGTATCTACGCGGGTCGGAATTAATGCTTATAAGTGGAACAGCATGGCCATAGTAAGAGTTGACCATGACTCTCTTCCGGTTGACAAACATTTGATGCACGACACTCTCGAGGCATATATCGATGGAAAGATCCATCCGTTGATAAGGAGCCGCATCTGGCCGCGCATCCTGGTCTGTGGCTACTATGCCCGGAATGCTCCCAATGTATATATTTCACCCATTGAGAAACGGGAAAAACGATTCAATTGGCACCGACCAATAGCTGTGATCGTCGACGATATGACGCTGGAGATCAGATGTTTCCCTGGACGAGACTACGTGCAACATTATGCTCTCCTCATCGCATATCATCTTAACTTGAACTCGATCAAGGCCCCTGACTCAGTGGTAGAATATCTTCTACCTTCTTCAGAAGCTTGTATGGATATTCTCTCGCAGTCGAATTTGCGATTTATGGGCGCTGTCGACACAGTCATCCTCGGGTATGTGGACCATCTGGCCACCAACGAGGATTATATCTGGGAGACAGGGACAGATGCCCCGGATCAGTTATTTGCATGGAAACGCTTCTACCTGGCTGATGGAAGTGTTATTGCCTTTGTGGGAAGCATGATGAGCCTTTGGGGCGATATCATTGGAAATACCGTTCGCACAATGCGAACCCAGAACAACATATCCAGTGTTCTTTACATGGGAAAGGCAGGGTCATTGAGGACCCAAGATGTGCCAAATCAGGTGCTAGTTACTGGCGAATTGAGTCGCGTGGATGGCAAGCTTCTTTCTTGGGAAAGCCCACTCCGTACGACACTATCGACAATGAAAATCGAACACCTGTGCCAGGGAACTCACATTACGGTGCCAAGCCCCTTGATCGAAACTGAAGAGTGGCTGGCCAACAATAAGCAGGATGCGGACTGGGTGGACTGCGAGGTCGGTTACCTAGCAGAAGCCTGTCAAGACAACAATATTCAATTTGGCTATTTGCACTTCATTTCAGATAATGTGGCACAAAAATACATATATAATCTTGCAACAGAGCGCCAGCAAGCTGTTATAAGTGCACGGAAGGGTATTTGGGACAAGGTTCGGCAAGTGCTGGCCACACATCTAGGTATAGAGGACTTGGGGGGAAGCATGCAGGGGCATTATTGTAAAATATAGACAAACATTCAATTTCAATACCATTCAATTATAATGCTGGTAATCGGCAGTAAATTCTAGTGATCATTATACCAGCCAGGGAAGGAAGCGCGTCAAAAGGTCGCTTTCTATGGCCAAATTTATGGCTGTTTAGGAAGGTAGCCTCTTTCCTTTAATTGGCCGTCCTCTGTTTTGCCTCCTTCCAAACCCCGAGTCCTCCAATAAAGAATTTACTGCTGATCTGAAGCTTTTCTGTCTCCAGAACATACCTCTCCCTTCTAAAAGATAAAGCAGCGGTAAAGTGAGAAGGGCAAGGGCTGCAAAGAGAACAAAACACAACCCCGTACCAAGCGTTCCAAGAAGCAAATCCAGTAGAGCAAGTATACCTGCAGACATTTCACATCGCACAAAATTATTCGCCGCTTGGGTTGTTGCGTGGCATTCGGGATGAAGGTCAACGAGAAGAATGCTCGCGGAGGTAAAGAAAACCTGCATAGTGAGCCCGATAAAAAATTGAAGAACAAGAGGCACCGCCATATGCTTTTGACTATCAGCGGTATCCAGAAATCAGAGATTTTAATGGCGGTATGTACTCACGGCCCGGTACTGAAGAGTAGGCTATCTAGGTTCCTAGGTAGGTAGGAACTACAGCTTACTAACACTAGAGGAATTCCCAAGTAGTTCAATATATAGTAGCTATATGATATAGAATAGGTTTGTGGGTGTTTCTTTGTTCTCTTTGACCCTGAAACTTGCCACTCTGACCCAGGTAAACAATGGTCCTAGATACTCCAGGGCAGTGGGTATGCGAAACACAACCCTTGGTTTCGATTAGAGAGGAGGCAAATCTCATTGTAGATTGATGCAAGACAGATGAACTGTGGATATGTATCTTTATACATATATGTTTGCAAATATACTGTGTGTACATACGCGTATGTTGCCAGAAGTAGTGAAGTGTGTAATCTCTGAGATTTAGTTTATAGAATGATGAGGGATGGTACAGGATATGAATAATGTGAATCAAATTTCGGGTGAAGGTGTCGAGCGAAGAGTCTGCAGGGATCTGATTGGTTTAGGCTGATTCTACTTTTCTGGTAGTTCCACCTGAAACTGAGAGAATGCTGAAATGATTGGCTTTCTGCTGCATGTATACAAAGATGCATAATGGGGGGCGGGGGATTAATATATGCTACTCAATTGATGGCCGATGGCCGTTTCGAACACCACTATATCGAAACTAACAACATGACTACCGGGAGAATCAAGGATGAACAATAATGGATACAGAACAAAGGATGATCCACTACTGTCTCTGCTGTCATTGTCCCGTCGATGCTACTCCGTATCTAGGACAGCAATATAGACCGGGGATGGGTAAGGGAAGCTGAAACAGAAGAGAGACAGCTATCATTGAGCCCCTAGAACAACGCCCATTGGAGTATAAGGCGCTGGTAGTTTCGATGAAGCGTATAAAGAGGGGCTTCGGCACTAGTAAGGGCTTTGAGAATCGCCATTTGCGATATCATCAGCATCAAAACAAATGAAAATCGCCATCATAGGAGGTGGACCTGGGGGTCTTGGTGCTGCTCTTGAGCTGGTCAAGCTGCCTTTTGTGTGCTGGAATTTATATGAAAAAAAGCCACAGATCAGCGAGACTGGGGGAGGAATTTCATTACAGTCGCACACTTGGAGACTTCTCGAGCGCAATGGAGCAGCCAGAAATATCAACGCCACAGACATTTTTCAATCTGCAGAAGGGCTGATAGAGCAGAGGCGGTATGTGTCCTATGCTTGGAATATTTGGTGAACCGTTGCTTACTGGATGTGGTAGTAACGGAAGGAGTGGGGAGCTGCTGAGCAAGAAATTCAACCCGGACAACATACCTCTTCATCACCAAACCTCCCGTCTCGTCCGGGCTAAGCTCCAATCTGCCCTGTTACAAAATGCAGATCAATCTCGCATACATTCGTCTAAGAGGCTTGTTGCGATGGAACAATGTCCAGACAGGCGGGTTCGCATCTTGTTTGACGATGGGTTTGTGGATGAAGTCGACTTGGTGATTGCAGCGGATGGTATTCGATCGGTAAGACGGACATCCTCTTTCGGTTATGCAAGTCAAAGACTAAATTTGAGCTAGGTTGTACGAAAATTCTGCTTTCCGGATCACACCCTTCGTTGGAACGGACAATTCGTGTATCGAACCATCGTGAGCCAGGCCGAGGTCAAGAAGATTAGTGAAATTCCATGGGCTCCAGTTTTCTGGAAGAATACCAGCGGTTTATATGTGTATACATGCCCACTTGGAGATGCCGATTTTGAAGTAACGACTCGCATTCGGCCACCACAAGAAGGACAGGAACCAGTCAGCTGGGGCCAACCATTTGACCTCCATACCATTTTACACGAGTACAATGATTTCTGCCCTCCCATCAGAAAGCTTTTGTGCCTTGCTGCCAAGGAGAAAACACAAGAGTTTGCTCTGTTTTTCGGTCCTCGTTTGAAGCGCATTGTAAATCACGGAAACATTGCTTTCGTCGGTGATGCTTCCTATCCTCTGCAAGGGAACTTTGGGGCCGGGGCTGGATTTGCGCTGGAAGACGTGTGCACGTTGGCCAAGACACTTTACTGGGCTTGGTCAAGAAAGAGGCCTTTGGTCGACGCACTCGAGCTGTTCAACTCTATCAGGGTTCCTCATTACGAGCGCCTTTTCAAAGTTGTGGAAAACTTTGCCTCTATCAAGGCTGCCCTGAGAGCGGAGGGCCTTCCAATCGACGAGGAGATTTCGGAGCGAGTGAAGAGAGTATCGCTAGCTTCGGAGTCGTGGATGTACTACTACGAGATTGACAAGGTGGTCGATGAAGCTATTCGCGAAGCAGAAAATTCTGTCAAAGGTGTCCCCCAAAGCTAGCAGGCCAGCGGAGCAAGTGGAACTAACTGAGGCCCACGAGGCTATGCAAGCAGACAGCTGGAATTTAAGCGCGGAGTCTAACATGAAGACCAGCATCACGGACAAACAGGGATAGAGATGTGAAGCATGGAGGTGACAAAACCAAAAGATAGATTTACAAACCAATTGATGGAACTCTCTCTCTCATCTGAATTATTGCGTGCAATATAACAACCTTTTGTTATTGACTGATCCTTCTATTGCACTCCCGAGAAGAATATTTCATTTTTGGGATATTTATTGGACTGATGAAGATCAAACTAAACATAAATAAACGAGATCATCCCGGATGCATGTCCAATTACAATCACCTCGCCCAGTGTAGCCACACTAGTCGCGTGATGCTCTTCAGGAAACCAAACCAAACTTATCATATCCCTCTTCAGCCACTCTCGCGTCACGAAAATGGTATTTGGACAAGATAAATTTAAAGAAGAAGGAACGGAAAAAGAGGCAATATCCAATACACCTCGGTCAGTTTCGACATATCGACCACAATGGGAGAAAGATACTCTGCGAATCATGATGCCGGCTTGAAATGAACCTTGCGCTGATTTCGTCTTCGTATCCTAGAGACTGATCGTCCCATCGATAGTGCAAGAAACCACCAATTGGCTATCTGGTGAAAACGCGACTCTGCTGATCGGGAGTGTGTTACCGTCGATTATGATGCACGTTGCTCCAGACATTTTCCAAAGCCTAATCGTGGTATCCTCCGAGCAAGACACAAGTAGTGCTCCATCTGACGAAAACGCAATTGACTCCACTGGACCGGAATGCCCTCTGAATGCCAAAGGTTCTGAATTGACGTCTAGATCCCAGAGAAGGATTGTTGTATCCATTGAGCACGAAGCAATAAAGCCATTGTCTGGCGAGAAGGCGAGACCGTTTACTGCCGCTGAATGACCCTCCAGGCTTCTTAATTCAATTCCAGCTTTTGGGTTCCACAGTCTAGTCGTGGTATTGGAACATGACGCAAGTAGCCGGCCGTTTGATGAGAAGAGGATCAGGGTGACACCAGTTGAATGACCTTCGAGAGTATGAGATGCCATTCCTGTTCTGGTTTCCCATAATCTCACAGTCTTATCACTTGATGCTGACGCAAGGAGACGGCTGTCTGGGGAGAATATGAGGTGTTTGATACCATCAGAATGGCCCTCGAGTTGCCGATATCCCTCCCCCTTCTGCCATAGCTTGATGGTCGCATCTTCCGAGCCGGAAGCGAGCCATTCGCTATCTGAGGAAAAGAGGACGCAAGTAACCTTTTGAGAATGTCCTTCAAACTTCCTAGGACTTTGCAAACTCTCGCCCCAGGCTGGAACATTGGGCCACTGAGTCGCCAACGCCCCAGAGTTGAGGTCCTCTTCAAAGTCTTCTAGTTCCCCGAGTGGTGCCCATGTTACTGTATCCCAGAGATGGACTTTGTCGTCGAAGGAGCTTGATGCTAAAACCTTATTGTTCGGTGAGAATAGAACTGAGTTTATCCCACTTGTATGAACTCGGAGGACTTGTATTGTGTTGCTGTCATTCGCATCCCAAATCCGGACAGTCTTATCTTCGGAACCAGACGCAATGAGACAAGCATCCACGGAGAATGCAACTGCCATGACCTTTTTTGTATGTCCCCTTAATGTTCCACACTCTGCTCCGGTGACTGCATCCCAAATCTTAATTATCATATCATCCGATCCAGTGACAATCCGCCTTCCGTCTCCCGAGAAACGGACGCAATTGATACAACCCGAATGACCGTCGAGTATCATGCGTGGCTCTTCCGCCTTGGAAAAGATATCCCAGAGCCTTACCGCGTTGTCGAGAGACCCAGTCGCAATCAAGGAACCATCAGGAGAAAAGGCAGCGGAATTGACACAGCTCAACTGATTGTGGATTCGTTTGACCAATTGCCCAGTCTCCGCGTTCCAGAGTGCTACCGTTGCGTCCATAGAGCCTGACGCGAGTAGCTTGCTATCCGGAGAGAATACAACGGAGTTTACCCAACCGGAATGAGCTTTAAGAGAATAAAGCAAGCGTCTCGTTCCAATCTCCCAGGCCATGACTGTCCAATCATCCGATCCCGCGGCGAGGGTCATCCCGTCTGGCGAGATGGCAACGGAACTGACCTTATCCATTGCCCCTTCGTATTTCCAAAGCTTCGCTCTCATCGCTATGTTCCAGAGCCTGACTGCCTCAAAGTTTGACCCAGAGGCGATCCTTGTGCTATCGTGTGTGAATGCTAGGTCACTGACATAGTTAAACTCGTCCTTTGCCTTGGGAACATTTGGTTCAGCAATTTTAGTGTGTTGGATCCAGGGTAGCATTGGATACTGAAAGTGGTACTTGAGTCCGTTGGTAGGTGGGATAAACATAAGAGCCATGTACGCCTGGAGGGGTGCTTTTTTGATGACGTTGTGAAACGCGAACATGTATCGCCTTGCGTCTTTAACAAAAGACGTTTGATGCAAATTATCGGCCGGCTAGAATATATCACGCATGTCAGTTAGCTAGTTGAATTGAACATGAGCATTTGAAAACACAAACCACAAGAATAGAATGGTACAATCGTATGATTGAGCCCATCTCATCACTCTTTCCTATCAGATTGATAGCCTCGAGCCAATGAAGAAAGTGCACTCGGAAGAAAACATGAAACGAATCCCCATCGCAGAGGTGCATCCCGCCTTTGTTGCAATGTTGAACCCAGTAAAGGCATGCATATTGGAGCTCAGGGGGGATACATTGGTTGATTAGATCACGATCAACATCCTTGACTAGCGTATCTGGTGATTTGAGGCCGCATATGTTGCTCTTGAGCATTCTCGACATAAGATACATGCATTGTTTGGCCAAGGTCTTATGCACTTCCTTTGTATCTACCCAAAAGTTGGCATCGGTACATCGATTCCGATCAAGGAGGAAGTCACGAAACGTAGGATGATGTAAGCGAATAGTATCGGATATCAGATCGGGGATGTTGACAATGGGATGCAAATCGGCTAGCGTATCCTTGATATTACCCAAAGGCTGAACAAGCAGCTTAGATAGTGATTCCATGGAGAGTGGGGAACATAGAATGAGGACACTTCCAAGAACCTGTCTTAGTATCAAATAGAACCCTTCCTCTTCCTCTTCGTCGCGTTCCCCTTCTCCATCGCTGTTCTGCGGAATAGAGTCTTGGAGCACAGTTGTGTAGATCTTGTCTAAATGCTTTCCCGGCCCATTGTTAAGGCGATTGACGTTGATTAGTTTATTGATTCGCTTCGTCACAAATCGATTGCCTTCGCGAATGAAACGGCATGCAGTCGATGCCCAAATAAAGAGACCAAACGAATTCTCAACTAAGCGCCTGGTGACTACCTCGCCGGGCCAGTCATGGTCAAAGCCACGTTCCTCCCGAATAGTAGAGAGCTCCTTTTCAAAGAAAATGCGAATATCTCGGTCGACCAAGTCAGACGGGATATCATGGAGGGCAACCACCTTGTGTCCTGCTTCTCTTATCCTATGGACGTTGGAACGGATAGGAGTTTCAGGTCTGCTTGTAATGAAGATCCGCAATCTGATGTTGCTGAGTGACAAGTATGTAGTCAAGATCTGAGGAATGACTCGGATATCATTCTCATCACCACACTCATCCAATGCATCAATGACAAACAGGACCGTGGAAGGGGATACCGTGGAGGAAGACAACATGGAGGGAGAAGAATTGAGCTTAGAAAGTGGACCGATTACTAACGCCTCCCACTGGCGATGTAGGGAATGCTTCATGACGTTTCCCAGCTTCTTGATGCCTTCATATATATAGGGTTCTGTCAACGGAATTGCGGAGGCTAGTTGCTGAGCAAGAGTAGTGACCAATTTGTCGGCCTTGCTAATATCACCGCCACCTTTCGAGAAGAAAAAGCTCCCTCCTAGCTGATCCCGGCCATAGTAGGTCTTGGCAATAGTGCGAGCGATAGTAGATTTTCCGGTTCCCGCCATTCCTGGTAACCAAAAGACACAGCTCTCATCTGGGCCTTCAACCCATGCTTTTATGTCTCGGAGGAGCTCTGCTCGGGTATCTTGAAGACAGTTCGCTTCATACTGATTGTGGTGCGAGTCAAAGGCTACCTCCGAAGCATTGGGCAAGGTAGACAGGACAATACCCGGCACGAAAAGGTTGATATAGTTGTAGTTGTTGTTGTTGCCGATGTGGACAATTGATTGATGATTGGCTTCAACCGTTCTGATGTTGGTACTTGGGGAAGAGTTTTCCAAACTCATCGTTGCCGCTTCCTTTGATGTGGGTTGAATTTTCTCAAAGTTTGTGTATCAATCGATAGGAGAGGACTCACGATGGAGAGGCGGGTTTGAGATGAAAAGATTAGGAAAAGGGGGCGTAGAACATTTCTGGGATCTGATCCATTAAGCTACTTGCAATATCCTTGCTGCCCCGGAATGGAGTTGGTCGATCCTCATTGATGCGACGAGCCGCATGCCTGCTGTGCCTCGTATCTAAGTCGGGCTTTAGGTGAAACTACGAGAAACATTACCATGAGCCCAAAACCAACTAGGTCTATGCAGGCAGCCATAAAACACTAGAGCTAATCTCTGTTCACCGCTATAATCCAAAAGCCTCCTGATTCACTCGTGTCTCACATTGTTCATGTTTTGTAAAACTGACCTTTATTCCACTCATCAAATATGGAAAATCCTACAATCCATCACTTCTGAGAATCACTTGTACCTTTCCACCTGCTGGGATTGGAATAATAGTAGCGATAATCTCTCACCGGGACGTTTAATTTAGATTGAAGTTCTTTTGAGAGCCGTATTCTGAATGTAGGGGATGGTACGAGGATTTCCATTGAGTTTCTCCCCATTTGCCGCATTTGTCACTAATATCTACAGCACAATATAGATACTATTGCTGTTCTCTTCGACTTTTGACTAGCTTAAAACAAGCAATTTCATCAACCTTCAATTAGAAAGCGTTGTCAATCATGGACCCCATCAGTTTCGCTCTTGCACTGGGAGGCATTCCGGGGATGTTCACATCATGCGTCGAATGCTGCCGGTACATTCAGTTTGGTCGAGACTTTGAGAAGGACTTTGGGATGACTTTATGCAAACTCGAAGCCTGCGAGTTGCGGCTAACAAGATGGGGCACGGCAATGGGCATCGAAGGCCCCGATTCGAGACTTCGGGCAGATCTCTACGGGAAAGAACAGATCAAGAGCGCCTATCACTGGCTCATGGAGATTGAAAAGGCTTTCAATATCGCGACCGAGACCTCTGCTCGTTTCAAGAGTACCGCTAAGCCCGAAAAATTGCTGCTCCTCGACACGGATACCGAAATTGCCAAAGCAAACAATTCGCTGAACGGTCTCCATCTCACCATGCGCAATATCATTGATGGTCGTTTGAAGCCTCGAAAGAGAGACTGAGTTGTCTGGGCTCTTTACAAGAGAGGAAACTATGAAAATTTGGTTGAGAACATTTCCGATCTTGTCAATAATTTGGTGGAGTTATTTCCCTCCACAACCCCCGAACAAGGACAGTTGTGTAGGAAGGAAGTCCTGGTTATGAGTTCTAGCAGCTTAGAGCTCTTGAGGGAGGTTACCGACGGCGAAGATGAGGTTTTAAAGGATATGCTCCAGATGGAACTCCAGCAACGCACCATCCATGTCGGAGAGATTCAAGTGAAGGATGATTTTGTGGGCCAGATTGGTGACAATGTTGAGTTGGCCAGCCAAGCAAGTAACATCGAAATCAAAGTTGTCGGCGGATCTGGTCGTGCCATGTTGCATATTGGTAGCAATATTGCTTCAGGAAAGACCATCTATGACCAGGGCCAGAGGAAGAATTACCAGCCATGATTAGCGACACCAAATCTTTCTATCCTTGGACTCTGGCTCTGGCACCTCATTTCTTTTTGCCTTTCTTTCATTTGCTTTCCTTTCTTTCTTTTGCTGTTATTTAAAAACTTTCAAAGTTTCAAGTTTCCCAGTGTAAGTTCAATGTTGTACACTCCGCACGTACTCACGGGTTGGACTCGGCTGGATGTTGTGTTTTGATTAGCTACCCGATGTGAGAAGGCTCATTTCCCCCCACTTCCTTTGTTCCACCATCTTTGTCCTCCATTGATGACTCCAACTCAAGTATTCGTGGCTTGTAGTACGACCTCGATATTCGACTCGGGGGCGTGCTGTTGTTGACCAATGGTGTCTTGCGAGTGACCTCGAAAGACAAGTGACAGTGCAACATCGACCTCGAGACTCTGTGTTTTCTATAGATATCTTACCGCACCTACCATGCGATTCCTCTCGAAATTTTCTTTGTTTTGCTCAGTATTTAGTCGTGCGACTGCTCTATCTCGATTTCCACTTTTACCATTCACTGGTTCTCCCCGTCTGATATCCCGACTATCATTAACCATGATGGAAACGCTACACCTATTGACCGCCACTCAAGTGCGGGATATGCTCCAGAATAACACTATCACTACCGAGGAATATGCCCGCTGTCTCTTGAGACGTATTGAGGAGCGGGACGGCACTGTCAAAGCATGGGCATTCCTAGGTAGCTTTTCCCTTCTTATACCTGTTATCTAAGTGAGAAAACAAAAGAATTATCTGCTCATATTGCATCAGATCCCGCATTTGTACTCAGTCAAGCTCGAGATCTAGATCAGATTCCCCAAGACCAGAGAGGGCCACTGCATGGGCTAGCGATAGGTATCAAAGATATCATGAATACCAAAGGTATAGTATAGCATTATTCGTGTAACTATGACCGCCACCACCGCTTATATGTTTCCAGATATGCCCACCCAGTTTGGCTCTCCTATATATAAAGGACATCAGTCAGGCTTTGATTCATCCGCCGTTGCAATTCTACGAGCTGCCGGAGCTCTCATCTTCGGTTCGTCAGTTCTGATGCTTTAGGGATTTCACTCTTTATGATCTAATACACTATGCAGGCAAGACTACCACGACGGAGTTTACCGTGAGCAACTCGGGACCAGACACCACTAACCCTCATAACCCCAATCGGACCCCAGGGGGCTCTTCATGCGGATCTGCGGCAGCGGTAGCCGACTACCAGGTTCCACTAAGCCTTGGATCACAGACTGGTGGTAGCGTTATTCGTCCAGCATCATTTACGGGAGTCTTTGCTATGAAGCCAACCTATAATGCCATTCTAATAGAAGGCCAAAAGACCTTTGCACCGACATTTGATACCTTGGGGTTCTTTGCTCGAAGTGTCGAAGATCTACAGCTACTTGCCGACGCCTTTGCTCTTGTGGACGACAAGACTCCTGGTGAAATCCCACTGAAAGAAGTCTCTGTTGCCGTGATGAAGACTCCGATGTGGCCGGAGGCGGGACCTGGCTCCATAGCAGCCATGAACAAAGCGGCCGCAATTCTCAAAAGCAGGGGCGCACAGGTTGAAGAAGTCACTTTTCCCACTGAGGTCAATGATTATGTTGTTCTAAAGGGATCGCAGAAAGTGATCCTCGGTGGCGAAGCTCAAGCTTCCTTTCTCAGGGAATATTGGATAGACAAGGCAAATCTCGCCGCAGAAATATGCGATCTGGTTGAGAACACTGCCAACTACACCAATAAAGAGAGGATGGAAGCCTTTGATGCGTACGCTAGAATGCGGAACGCAGTCAACAACCTAGCTGAGAACTACTCAGTGATTCTAGCACCTAGTGCCGTGGACGAAGCGCCCCTCGGGCTTGACGACATGGGCTCTGCAGCTTTTAACACTATGTGGACGGCGAGTGATTTCTTGAAATTGCATTTGGTTCATCATTCGCTAACTCTACAACAGGGATTTCATATGGCTGTCATCCACATACCTGCATTTATCGGTGCTAATGGCATGCCTGTTGGCATATCTCTTGTGGCCCCCAGATTCCGTGATCAGCATCTCTTGAAGGTCAACAAGATCTTGGGTGACGCTTTGATGGCGGAAGGTGGTTGGAAGGTGTAGATATATCATCGTTTCTAGGGGCGAGGTAGGAGTTAGGCGCTGAAGGTGGAGTTTTTCAAATGAATTAAGCTATTTTGTCCATATTGATTGATGAGAAGGATAGTCGGCCGCATAGGCGGCCGTGTGGCGACGTTTTCGTTGGCTTTAGGAATTTCTTCCCTTTTCAATTATCAAACAAAGATTATACATAGCAAAGTCTCTTGCACAACGTACCTTTATTATCACCTTTACATACAGTCAGAGAACATACATAGTAAGGCCACATGAGCGGCCGACTATTCTTCTTGGTGTTACAGCTAGAGTGTAGGCAGTAAAAGTGGCTTGAAATGAGTAAACCGATTTTTCCATGTAGAACCCTTGATAAATTCTCGAAAGACTGGCTCAGTGATTGCTTGAATTTATTTCGTCTGTAGGAATTATGTCAATGTGTTTGATGCTCTCAAATTTCACATATTCCGTCATTCCATAGTACTAGCTAGTTATGTAACTAGCTAAAAGAATACTTCGATTCCTTGATCACAACGCCAAATGAAATCGCCGCTGTTGGACCAAAGTTAGGCTATAAATTCTTTCCAATTGAATCTGATTCTTACTGTATTGTAGTTCATTTTTCATCTCAAATGACCACTTCTTTGCTAAAGGACTGAGACGACAGCTGGAGGATCAATACGGCCCCTTCACCTGGGCATCTTCTGTGGTATTCTGTGCAGACACCGGTCTCAAGCTCAAATGCAATGTCGCTACCCCTCGAAATTCACATGCCTATGCCAACGGCATTCTACTATTTGATGAGGGAAAAACACTAGCAGTTGCTGATACCCTTTATGGGACGGTATCGCTCTATGATGTCCATGCAGACACAAAACTTCTGGCCAAGAAACAGACAATTGTGAGTTGCTTTGACTGGAGTCACTCGAAATATTTGACTGATTAGCACAGGTCCTAGGGGCGTCCCCGGATAATATGTCAGAGTCAAAGAATGGAGACCTTATTGTTGCAGGTGTGTACATACCTTATCCCTCCTTGATGTTAGTATTAACCGCCGCGTATAGTGGTTCCTGACCTAAGGAGCATACTGCCACGCGCCTTTGGCAATGGCCCCCTCAATTATAGCTCCCCTGTTGAGGCCACTGTCCTTCGACTGGTCAAAACCAACAATTTCACACCCGAAATCATCTTCTGGGACGACGGAAACCAAATTAGCATTCTTACCGGTAATGCACTGGATTCAACAGGCAGAAAGCTCGTGGCTGGAGGTGTTTGGGAACGATGGTTTCTAGTTTGTGAGGTCCAGCTTTAGTTTGCCGATGTATTGTTTTTTTTTTTCTTTTTCTTTCTTTAAATGCATTCTTGTGAAACAATAGTATTGAAGAAATAGAAGAAGAAAAAACCAAAAATGACACGGAAAAGAATTCGAGCATATGAATCAGTGAATTTTAACTATCAAAGCGGCCTTAGTGCCTTGGTGCCTTTTTTTGCAAGGCCTCTCCATAGTTAGCGAGTGATTTAGGGAAATTCCCGTTTGAAAGTAGAGGGTGGCATGGCGTATTGGAAGCTAACGACGGAGATACGCGGACTCCGCTTTACGTTTACTATATGATTCGTCTCTGCTCTTATTACTCCGTATTATAGTAGGATATAGATAAGAGCTGTAAATAGAAACTTACAAGGATTGCATGTAACTAGGACAAAAAAGGCACTTCCGCTTATTAAGAGAGCACAGGGGCCAGGAGATGGAGTGTGAAATGGCGACGCTCCGTGTTTGCTTCAACTTTGCCTCTCTCCCGGACTTTGCTATTCGGAGGACTAACCTAATTATTGTTTTCACCGGGGCCAGTTCTTTGAAAGGTATTTTTCTTTTGATGAAATTTCAGGATTCCTTTGTCAGTTATCATAAGACGACAGGGCACCGTTGACTACTGCGATGACGACCGTAACAACAACATCGCCTGCTTTAGTACTGGAATCCCACGATGAAAGGAGCTTCAACGAATTTACGGCCCCAGCGATAGAGCTACAAAGGCTTGACGATAAGAGTCCATTCGAGGGCTCCTCTTTGGAGAAGGATGAGAAGACAACATTGCAGTCATTCTTGATTATCACCATCATAACGGGTGTCACTTTTATCAGCGTCTCAGGAACTGGAATTCTGACCACCGCACTTCCTCGTATCTCAACCGACATCAACCTCGACCGCGATCTGATCTTCTGGCCAGCATCTGTGTATGCGCTATCTGCAGGATGCACTTTGTTAGCATTTGGCTCTGTTGCTGATGTCGTCGGCTCTAAAAGGATGTGGCTGATCGGGAGCGGCGCCTCATGTCCCCTTATACTTGCATGTGGACTCGCCCGCACTGGTAACCAATTCATCATCTTCCGTGCTCTTTTGGGCTTGTTTGTGGCTATGTGTCTCCCAACGTCGATGTCGCTGGTGACGGCGTCCTTTCCACCCGGGCGCAAAAGGAATATTGCCTTTGCAGCGACAGGCATGGGCCAGCCTTTAGGCTACGCATTAGGACTGATCCTAGGTGGTGTCTTGGCCAGCACGATCGGCTGGCGATGGGGCTTTTATATCACTGCTATTCTCGACGCAGTATTATTTGTGTCGTCCATTTTTATCCTTCCGTCGGACACGGATTCTAAGAAATTGTCAAAGATCACATGGCATAACCTCGCGTACAATATCGACTGGATTGGCGTAGTCATTCTCGCTTTGGCCTTTGGGCTTCTATCCTATGTTCTTGCGTGAGTCTTCACCAATATATCTGTTTAACTTTTGGATCCCGCTAATCTCTTTATAGTATGGTCACAGTTAGCTACAAGAACATATCGAAGCCCCAATATATAGTCCTGCTTATTATCTCGCTTTTACTCCTCCCTGTCTTCTCCCTCTGGGTCAGGTGGCAGGTAAAGCGCCAAAAGCCAGCCTTGATTCCAAACGCCTTATGGCGGAATCTGCCATTTCTCTTTATCTGTGTGGCCATGTTCTTCACATGGGCCGCATTTAACTCCTTCCAGTACATATCTACCCTATTCTTCCAGGACGTCCAGAACCTTTCAGCGCTTCAGGCGTCCATTCGTTTCTTGCCCATGGCCGGAGTTGGCGTGCTTACCAACATAATTGCTGCTCATCTGGTGTCAAAGGTGAATGTCAACATGCTGCTGGGGATAAGTGCAGTGATCACCGCAGTTTCACCAATCCTAATGGCGGTTGCATCACCTGAATGGACTTACTGGACTGCGGCATTTATTGCTATGACTTTAAGTCCTATCAATGGCGACGGTGAGTAATCTTCCATCAAGTAATTATCCGTGTCAACGATTTTGTTTATTCTTGATAAGTGTGGTTTGAAAGCTAATCTTTATATCTCGCCTAGTGCTATGGACTGTCTCTAGTCTTATCATCTGCCGTGCATTCCCCGACAACTCACAGGCTCTGGCTGGTAGTGTCTTCAATACTATCTCACAGCTAGGTAACTCAGTCGGGCTGGCTGTTACCGCCGTTATCGCAACCTCCGTCGCCGCACACGAGGATGGTTCCGCGACCGGTACGAGTACTTCTCAGACGATGAGTGAGCTTCTAGAGGGATACCGTGCTGCGTATTGGACTATCTTTGCCGGCATGGTGGTTGTTTGCCTAGTGAGCTCTCTGGGTTTGCGTAAGGTGGGAAAGGTTGGCATCAAACAGGACTGATATTCTTGCCACGGTTGGGGAGAAGCGTGGTAGGTGGTACAGGTACATTTTACAAACTGACGGCTAAGGGGCTCTCCTTTCCTTCAACTATATGTCTAAAAGATGCAGTATCTAACGTATAGATAGTGATGAAAATCAAGGGGTGGGTGCTTTTATAGATGCATTTATTGGATAGGATTTCGGTGGCTAGAATTTCAACTTGAAGGAGTGTGTTGAGACGGCCTTCGTGAATTTCTGCCAGGTCTCTCTTTAACTATTTAGGTAGGTCCCTGCTTGATAGTAAAACCCGGCATTCTCCCTCCTCTCTGTTCCCTAGTAGTCAGATCACCAACAAAAACACTTGCAATTTCTTGATTGTCGAGACACAAACTTCTCAAACTGTACATATGAGCAGCGGAAGTCGTATAAAATGAGGGTGTGTACATACCTAATCACTACGTTCCTAATGTGCTGATCAACCTGGATGGTAACCGTGCGAAATGCGAGAGTATATTCCTCAACGTAGTCAGCTTGATACACCCGGATATCTGATCTTTTTTGGGGAGAAATTCATCATAATCTCTGGTATTAGTTAGTTAGTACATGGCGGACTCTTCATAGTGTTTGTATTCGGGATTCCTTTCAGAACAAAACTCCTTGAGGTAAGTATGATCTATGTGCTGTTCCGTAAATACAATAGACCCTTGTGCTCTACGGCAGGTTTTAGACGCCATCGCGCCAACCGACCTGGCAGCAAATTAGCAATGAATTAAATTAATAACCTATACCTATAGCCCAGGGTAAGAAGGTATTATTACTTTCTAAAATAGGTACTAAATATAATACTATTCGTACCTATATATCCCTAGAATTCCCTTATTTCTTACTATACCCTTTAAACTAACCTTGGAAAGGATTAGAAGTAACGTATTTCACATGCGAGCGGCGCACACAAGCGAGTGGCGCACCCAACCCAACCCATTAAATTTAAATACATTTATCTTAACCATGACGCCATTAAATTAATTCAACTAACTAAGTGGTCTATCTAGACATGTTTCTCTTCTATGCCCTGGCAATCTGTATATACCACACCCCCGGGGAGGCCGTGTACGTGGCTGAATAGTCGATTCTCTAGGTATGCTAGGGCCGGGGGGAGGTGCTTCACTTACTTCCTATTACTATATAATTAATATAGATACTTCTTGAACTGAGAGGCCTTCTTCGGTAGGTAGCTGCCTCTAGGATCTAGTGCGCTTTTGCTTCTGCTTTTTGTTAGCAGCCCGTAATTCCTTATTTTCTTTAGCGAGTAAGATAGTACCTTATATTATAAGACGGAAGCCTTTTATAAGCTAGTTTAATATATAATCTGATAGGCTAGGCGGGCTTTAAGATCTAGTACGAAGTAAAGCTTTAATTAATAAAGCCTATCGATATAGTTCTTTCTCTATAATTAGACCTGGCAGTGACCCGCGGGTGACCCTCACGACCCTCGAACCGCCCCGCCACTAGGGCGGTTCGAGGGTCCAACCTTCCGACCCTAAGGGTCGTCCACCTAGAGGTTGGACCCTCGGAGGGTCACCCGCGGGTGACCCTAAGGGTCGTCAAACGAGACAAACAGGCAAATCTCGTGACATGCATAATTTATGTAGATTTGCCCTGTATTTTTGAGTATCCTGATTATATGTCCGAAGTTCTTTAATATTAATTTTTAGTGATATATTATTATAAAAACTTGTGTTATATTCTTGAATCTAGTTCCTATCTACTAGACTACTATATATCTATTAAGCCTTTTTAAAACCTTCCGAACTCTTCTAGATAATCGAGGGAGAGGAATTTTGCCCTCTTTATCTATACCATCCTTAGCACTAGATTGTATCTTATCGCCTTCGCTTAGTAAGCCATTTCTTTATCTCCTCCTAAGTATAATATTAGGTAATAGTTATAAAGTAGGTAGTAACTGACTTTCTTTAACTATATCTTCCTTAGTATTACTAATTAGTTTAAACAAGGTAGTAACTATACTATTTGCCTCTATTAAAGCTACGATCTCCTAGGAAGATAGGTACTCCTAGAGAATCAGCCGCTAACTCTCTTATAGATCAAACCTTATTATATATATAAATATTATAATATCCTAGATTATCTTTAGCTTTAGTAAGCCTTACTAGTAATAATAAATATTACGTATAGAGTTAAATAGTCGCTCTACGCCTATACTAGTAGCTAGGATAGATATAATATTATAGGTAATACTTATAAGAATCAGCTATTTATATTAGTTTTCTTTCTAAAATATATAAGGTGATAAACGCTGCGGGGCTAGATATTTATTAATATTAGTTAGATATAAAGGATAAGGATAGATTATTAGACTTATTAGAATTAAGATATTAAGTTAGCTTATCCTCCTATAGAGCGATAGACTACTAGGAGTTATTTAACTCTAATATAGATTTAAGCTTAGATATTCTAACCCTAGATAATAGACTACTTAGCGATAACTAACTATCCTTAATATTAAGCCGCTCCTTATAGCGCTTAACCTAAGTCTTAAGACTATCTTAGTAAATATCCTTCTAGCTAGCTTTATTAAGATTATCTAATTCCTATTCCTTTAATAAGAAGAATTAAAGCTTTTAAGATAGAGATAAAATTATACTAATAGTATAAAGATACCTATTAATACTATCTATATCCTTATAGTATTTTAAAAGCTTTTCTAATACAGCTTTAAGGGCAGATTATATAAGCTATTTCTATAGAACCTTCTTCTGCTAAAGTATAGTAATCACCTTCTTAAGATAGTTAAAAAGGTAGTTATATATACTAAAGATAAAGTAGATACTTAAGTCTTTAATCCTAGAAATAAGACTTATAAACTTATAGAATAGTTTAAGAATAAAGAGTAGATATTTAATCTACCTCTATTCTCCTAGGCTTAATATAAAGTAAGGCTACTTATACTATAAGTAGAAGGTATCGAATACTAGCTATAGTCTCTTTACTTACTAGAGTATTAGAAAAGTTAAATTCTACTATATCCTAATATCTTAGATT